TCCCAGCTCACAGCAACCTCAAACTGTTGGACTTAAGAGATTCTCTTGCCTCCACCTCCCAAGTAGCTGGGATGACAGGTGCCCGCCACGGCTCAGCTATTTATTAATGATTCTTGGGGAACACGGATGCTTATCTGTACTTCACTTATTAATCAGGCTCCCTTCCTTGCTGATATTTACACACAGCTCCTCTGTACACGGATCACTTACAAAATCAGGATGTAAATCAAACTCATTTTTTTCTTCAATATCCCATTGTGCAGTGAAATAGTTGGCTATTGGAAAATCCATGTCAATATTCTTTTTATACATGGTAAGCAATTATTTAAACATCTTTCTCAGTATTTAAAACGTACTTTATAATATATATATATGTTATATTTTAAGTATATTTTCATTTCTAAAACCTAAGCTTAAAAAAGACTTACCTTGGTTTTTTTTAAAGACTTAAAAAAGGGTTACCTCAGTGTAAATAGCAGAATAAGAACCTCTAGAACTTCTCTCCTCCATAAAAGCAGTGAGCACACTGGCAAGAACAACTATTAACAACAATTAGTGCCTATGGCCTTCTAATTGCCCATCCTCCTCTTCTATCTCTAGCTATAGGGTAGCTATGAAAACTAAAGACTCATAGTCATGGTTAAAACCAACAGTCTGGTAGGTACTGGAGGTAGCAGAAAGGGGCTGATCTACCTCCCTTCTTTCCTTCCTTCCTTCCTTCTTTCCTTCCTTCCTCCCTCCCTCCCTCACCTGGCTAATTTTTAAATTTTCTGTAGAGCTGGGGGGGGGGTCTTGTTACACTGCCTAGGCTGGTTTTGAATTCCTGGCCTCAAGCCATCCTCCAGCCTTGGCCTCCCAGATTCCTGTGATTATAGGCATCAGCCACCACACCCGGTCCTCCTATTTTTTGAGATGGGGTCTCACTGTATTGCCCAGGTCAATCTCAAACCTCCCATCCTCAAGCTATCTTCACACCTCGGCCTCCTGAGTAGCTGAGATTACTGCACCTGGCAGTTATGGCTTTTTTATTTTAGTCACTTCCTTTAGGCACTGTCAGCATGCTGGTACTGGAGTATGAAGCTGTAACTGCATGGACTATGGACGCTCAGTACGTAAGTCGCACTATTGCAAATGCGTGTATTATCCAGGCACTTACACGAGTGTGCACTGCTGCTGTTCCTGTACCTGCGACCCTTTCTTTATTGTTCTTTTTGTACTTGCTTTTTATACTTTGTTGGCCACTCAAAGGAAATCTGCTGGGCCATGATTTTCTTCAAATCCATTGCAAGGTGTATATTTGTTTTTTTAATTTTAAGATTATAATTTACTCATGGAAAGACTATGTTTAACTCTGTAAAAAATTACTAACCTGTCTTCCAAAGTGGCTGTACCATTTTGCGTTTCCACCAAGCGTAAATGAGGGCTCCTGTGGCTCCTTCGGGCATTTGCTGTTGTCGGGTTTTCTTTTTATTTGGGATTTCAGCCGTTCTCATAGGGATGCAGTGGTATCGCCTTTGTTTCAATTTGCGATTCCTCAATGACAAATAATATTGAGTATCTTTTTTTTATCAAGTGATATAACATAGATCATGAATATATTTATGCATATGTGGGGTACAAGGTGTTTTTTTTTATACAATTTGATGTGCTCATATCAAACTAATTTAAATAGTTTTTGCCTCATTTACTTGATAATAGTGTTAAGACATTTATGTTCTACACTTGATAGATTTGACTTGCAATCTGCTCCATAGGTGTGGTCCCGCCATTTACCCTCCGTCTCTCAAACCTCTCTCCTCCCCTCCCTTCCCACTCCACTTCACTCTTTCATCCTGGGCTATAGTTGTGTTCTCTCTTTCCTAAGAAAGTGTGAGTAAATATGAGTTAGTTTCGTAGAAGTACTGAGTACATTGGATACTTTTTCCTCCATTCTTGAGATACTTAGGAGAATATGTTCTAGGTCCCTCCATGTAAACATAAAAGAAGGAAAGTCTCCATCTTTTTTAAGGCTGCATAGTATTCCATGGCGTGCATATACCATAATTTATTAATCCATTCATGGGTTGATGGGCACTTGGGCTTCTTCCATGACTTGGCTGTTACAAATTGAGCTGCAATGAATAATTTGGTGCAAATGAGTATCTTTTGATATGTTTATTTGCCATACAGTACATTCTCTGATCTATTCGGATCTTTTGCCCATTTTTAAATTGCTTTGTTTTCTTTCTCTTGAGTTTGAAAGTTGGAACAGGTTTTTGTTTTGTTTTGTTTGTTCTGAAACATAGTCTCACTCTGTGCCCTGGGTAGAGTGCTGTGATGGCATAGCTCACAGCAACCTCAAACTCTTGGGCTCAACTGATCCTCTTGCCTCAGCCTCCCAAGTAGCTGGCGCCCACCACAATGCCTGGCTAGTTTTTCTATTTTTAGTAGAGATGGTATCTCACTTTTGTTCAGGCTGGTCTCGAACTCCTGAGCTCAGGCAATCCTCCTGACTCGGCCTCCCAGAGTGCTAGGATTACAGGCATGGGCCAACATGCCCAACTGATTTTTCTATTTTTAGTAGAGACAGGGTCTCTTTTTGCTCAGCTGGTTTCAAATTCCTGAGCTCAAACAATTCACCCATCTCAGCCTCCCAAGTGCTAGGATTATAGGTGTGAGCCACTGTGCTGGTCAATTGGACCAGTATTGTGAAATTCAGTATCCAAGCATTTGTCCTCCATTCCTCAGCACTGTGGAGACCGTCCTCCTGCTTCTCTCCCGCTGCCCCTTCCTGGCTTTTCTTCCTCCACCGTTCCCTTCGAGGGGTGACCTCTTTTTAGGCCTCATTGACTGGCTCACTTTATCAGCTACATCAGCATCCTCCCTGTGGCCACAGTTTCATCTGTCACTTCCATATCATCATCTCCAGATCTGCATCTCTTACCAGGACCGTGGACCTCTACCTCTTAACTGAATGCTTGATTTATCCCTCTCAACATCCTTTGGTGACCCCAAATTCAATTTTTCCACAATAAAACTATTCAACTTTCTCTTTCACCCTCTCTCACTCCCATACTCCAGTGTCCACTTTTTTTCCATTAATGGTATCACCTCCAGCAGCCAAGTTCTGCCAATTCTTCCATAAAAATGTAGCTCAGATTCCTCCTTTCCTTTTCCATTGCATGGAAAAGTCTTACGTAAGTCTTCCTGGACGTTCTCCCTTTCCAAATTGTCCTACACGTGCAATTCTTTTTCTAAGTATCACTCCACTGTTGAAAATCTCCAATCGCCTACCTATTGATATAAAATGACATTAGCCTCCATAAACCCAGCACTCACTGTCCAGCCGTCCTGCCCCATCAGGTCATGGTCACCGCACATCCCTTGGAACACCTTCAGAAGGCTGGTTTGTCCCAAGATACCTGTGTGAGGTCAAGGGTGAGGCAGTGGCTGTGGTGTGCCCTGTGGAAATGAGCACACAGGCTCCGTTGCTGGACGAAAGGGTCCATCTTGGCTGTCCCCCCAGCCAATCAGTGGAGAAGCAGATGAGAATTCTACAGTTTCACTTTTGTTTCCAGAAAAGCCAGTGATTCTGGAGAGCAGCAGGGGTATCTCTCCAAAGAAGGGCTCCACCCTCCTCTTTCCCTCTGTTACTTCTGTTCTCACAGTAAAGTCACCATCAGTGATGTTATGACTCATCGTAGAACGTGTCAAACAGACTCTCCCTCATCGGTTACAGAGTTACAGAATTTCTTCATATCTTCAAAGCATTTTTATTCTAGACTAAATTTATAGTTAGTCAACACTTCACTGGGTGCACAGAGTGTCCTGGGTCCTTGACCGGTACCTTGGAGTCCTTTACCCCAGATTACCTATGACAGTAGCCTTGGAAGTGAATGAACAATCTCCAGACGTCAGCACGGAGGTCATCGGCCTCGTCAGGGCCTGACCAGCAGCGTCCTGCATGAAATGGCCGTGCAGGTTAACAGTGGCTGGTGATAGCTCCATACCCATTATACTCATAGCCATCTTTTAAACGTTTTATTTTAGTCTTTTTTTTTTGGTCATGGTAAAAAACAAATGAGATTTTATTAAACATTTTTTTTGAGGAAATACATATGTATATTTATTTTTTAACTTCATTTTACACATTTTTTTTCTTTTTTTTAATTAAATCATAGCTTTGTGCATTAATACAGTCATGGGGTACAATATGCTGGTTTTATATACAATTTGAAATATTTTCATCAAACTGGTTAGCATAGCCTTCATGGCATTTTCTTAGTTATTGTGTTAAGACAATTATATTCTACATTTAGAAAGATTCACATGTACCCTTGTAAGTTAATCCCACCATTATTAAACATTTTATTTCAAAGTAATTTTTAGACTCATAAGGTAGTTCTTTTCACTCAGATTCTACCAGCGCTAACAGACTTAACAAACCACCTTCCTTGTTTCATCATTCTCTCCCTTTCTCTTAAGGTTTGGACATCTTGTTCCTCGAGTCAGGGTTATATAGAAAACACCCACCTTCCCACTGCCTGCTGCTGGCTGTGATTCATTTTTTCAGGGGTAGGCACCCAACCCAGGGCTTTTAGCATGGAGACTGGAGAAGAGTTGGGCCTATTTTGTGCAAAAAAGCCATCGATGTCAAACACAGGAGCTCCTGCTGGCCTGTCCCTGCTGTGTGCAGGAAGCCAATGGGAGAAAGAAGGCCGTGGACACTCCAGGGAGGACAGTTACTACAAGTAGGAGGACATTTTGGGCAGAAATTCCCTTGTGTGTTACTGCAGTGGGAGTCAGAACTAATTTCATGAGACTGGGAGTTAAAAGATAACCACAGGTGTTTGGACACCATGCGATAGGCCACATGCCTCAAGGACACATTTTTAGGTGTTGCAGGAAGATGAACTCTAGCAGTGATATTCAGAGTCAGAGAGGAGAAAGGCCTGGTGGCCAACACAGGGACTAAGAGGACATTATTGCAGCTAGGCGGAGAGTCAATCTGCTAACACACTGAACGTGTTTTCTTCACAATGTCTCTTGAGTTTATCGCTTATTCTCCGCTGCTGTAATCAAAGCGTCATCTTAGCACCCGTCGTGTGTGTGTGTGTGTGTGTGTGTGTGTGTGTGTTTTACCTGTTTGTTTAAGGATCTGCTCCCTTCTGCTGGGTGACAACCTTCACGAGGACCATTCACCTTTGTATGAACTAAAGGACCTGGCAAGGGCAAATAGAACATTGTGTTAATGTATTAATCTCAGAGTCAGCTGGACTTTTGAATCCCATCTGTACCCAGTTTTTAACAGCTATGAAATCTTAGCCAAGAAGTTTTGAGGGGTGGGGAAACTGCAGCTTTCTGAATTCAAGCTTGTTATTTTTTAAGCGCCAAAGGAGGCAAGAAAGTGTCATCTTTCTCTGCTGCACCCCCTTTAATAAAAGGATTTGTTCTGTAAAATTTGGATACAGTCAAAAAGCTGCACTTAAGGACCTAGAAGGCCACATATGTCTCCAAGGCCACAGATTCCCCACCTTGTTACCCTTCATTGGGCTGCTGTGAAGGGTAGATTAGATTATACAATCAAAACCTAAGTGGCCAGAACATAACAAGATTTAATAAATGTGTATTGGTATTATAGTTAGTACAGTGTTTGGCTCGTGGTGGGCATTCAACAGATGGTCATTATTGTCTTTATCATTGATAATAATTGCGTTTTTTTTTTTTATTTGAGTGATGTCCTGTTAGAAATAAGGGATCTGGGGATGGTATTCTGCCCCATGTAGGTAAGAGGGGTCTTGGCATAACACTGGGTAAAAGCAGTTAGATCTTTGGACACAGATGGCACGGTTGACAAGATTTGGCAATGGCATTTTAATTCCTTCAGTAGCAGTTCCATTCACAGTGTTGTCACTGGCTCCTTGCATTAGGAAAGCATCAAGAAAAACCTTCCAAACACCTCTAATCCCATCAGAAGAGTCCTCTGGAAACTTGAGTAATCCGGCAAGACATGAGTAGGTGATTTGAGGTAGAAAATCAATAAAATACATAGAGAGGAGAAATTGACACATTAAAAACGTAGATAAAATCAATTTTGTTTTCCGTCCTTCTCCACTTTCAATGCTATATTAAGGGGGAATTAGTAGCTGGGAACTGGTGTTTAGGAACAGGACGAGCAAACCATCAGATTTTAAAGCTGTTCCCTCGCAGGTGGTGGTCCCCCATTTACGGAGGCCTCTAGCCCTGGCTTGCTGCTGTCCTTTCTGTCTCCACTGCAGTCATCATTCTTGATTCCAAGTGCATGCACTTCACCTATCCAAAGCCGTGGCCATTCAGGTCTCTGACTCCACCCCATCTCAGCTGTCACTCACATGGTCAAACCCTAATCACCTAAAGGACTATCTCAAACCATCTTCCTTTAAGCATCACACTCTTGGACTACTATGTCCTAGCCTTCCAATGCACTTTCTCCCATCCCAGTGATGCTGGCAGAGCCTCCCATCTGTTGACCTTACCATGTTTCCTCTGCCTATTGCATCCCTCTTGTCCCCGCCTCTCTTATTCACCTGATTCAGGTTCTAGGGTCCATTACACGAGCACTCTCCTGCTAGCATCTTTGGGCCAGCCCTTCCTGGATAGTCACCTGAAAATGTCAACCAGGGTTAAAAGTAAAGTTCTGGGCGCTACATGCCTGGGACCTGGAAGCTGAACATTGCTAGAGAAAACCATATCCTGTCCCTATTGGTTTTTCTTGGAATGAATGACCACAAAACTCAAATGAGCAGTTATCTGAGTCCATTTTCTGTTTCTTATAACGTAATGATTGAAACTGGGTAATTTATGAAGAAAAGGTACTTATTTCTGGATGCTGAGAAGTCCAAGGTTGAGGGACCACATCTGGTGAGAGCCGTCTTGCGGAAGGGACTCTGAAGAGTTCCGAGGTGGTGTAAGGTGACACCTGGGGAGGAAACGGAGCTGTTAAAATGTGCTCACTCGAGTCTCTCTTCCTCTTCTTGTAAAGCCACCCGGGATAACCCCTGATAACCCATGCCTCTGTGAATGCATTAATCTATTCATGAGGGAGGAGCCCGTAAGATCCAATCACCTCTTAAAGGCCCCTCCTCTCCATAAGGCCACACTGGGGATTAAGTGTTAACATGATTTTGGAAGGTGTGTTCAAATGATAATAGCGGTCATGTCAACCAGACAACCCTAACATATCTTCCAATGAATTTACTCTCCCTCTCCCTAAACCAATTATTTCCCAACTTAATCTCTCCCCTTGAGCCTCTAGCACAGTGGTTCTCAACCTGTGGGTCGAGACCCATGGGAATTGTATTAAAGGGCTACGGCATCAGGAAGGTTGAGAACCACTGTTCTAGCACCTGCTACCTGACTCATCGTTAATTCACTGAAAAAAAAAAACAAAAACAGGAATCAGATAAGCCATTTTTCAATCTTCTCCTTCACCACATCTACCAACCTGTGTGCACCTGCACCACCCACCTCCTCCACCTTCTCTCCTGCTGGAGTGGGCAGTGCATTCCTGCTCCATATCCCAGACCCTCTTTGCAATTCTTCTTCTTTCTCTACAATTTTCTCTTGCAATACTTCCTATTGCTCCTTGCATCATCAATCTCACTCTCTTGAGTAGATCATTTCCATTAGAATAAAGATATGCCTTACTGTGTGAGTCATTACAGAAGTTTTGAGATACACAAAAATGAAGAAATGTGAAATCCACACGAATGGAAACAAATGAAGCCCTCTCAGAAACACTGACAAGCTGAGCAAGGAAAAACTTGCACAGGTGAATCAGAAAGGACACTGTAGATTGTATTTCTTGAAAGTGAAATAATGGACCATAACACAGTCTGTCTCATGACTTTTGTAGGCTCTACATGCCTCTCCACCCTATTTCTTTGCTTCCCTTCAGGGAAAAAGTCCCTAAAAGAATTGTGTATTTCCACTTCCTCAATTCCCATTCTTTCTTTAACCCATTTCAGTTAGGCTTTGGTCTTTATCCTTCCATCCAAACCATTCCTAATGCAGTCTTTATGACGGGCAATATTACCATCTCCAATAGGGCCTTCTATGTCCTTGACTTACCTAACTTCTCAATAACATTTGACACAATTCGTTTATTGACTTATAATTTACAGACAATAAAATACAGTTTGATTAATTTTGGCAAGTGTATACATCTCCATAATGACCCTCGCCACAATCAATGTATAGAAAATTTTCCTTATCCCCAAAGTCATCCTGGGCCCCTTCCAATCAATCCCCCAAATAATCCTAGAGAACCACTGGTATCTTTTCTATTATTAGATTTTAGGCTTTTCTTTAGAGTTTCATATTAACAGAATCATATTTTATAAACCCTTTTACTTGTTTTTTTACTCAACATAATGTTTTTGAGATTTATTCATGTTTTGGGGTATATCAGTAGTTCATTCCTTTTAATTGGTGAGTAGTATGGATGTTGTAGGGGTAGACCACAATTTACACAATTTTGACCACAATTTGTTTATTCATTTATCTGTTGATAGATATTTGGGATGTCCATTTTGGAACATCCTGTAAATTAAGCTGTTTTAGACATAATCAGTCTTTTTATACTTTAAACATTTTAAGATCAGTTTTAGTGTGAAAATATATGCATGGACACTTGGATAAATTCTCAGGATTTAAATTGCTGTATTATAAAGTAAGCATATGTTTAAATTTATAAGAGCTACCAAGCTGTTTCTAGAGTGATTGTACCATTTTACATTCTCACTAGCAATGATGAGAGTTCTAGCTGCTCCACAGCTTCACCAACACTTGGCATTATCAGTCTTTTTCTTTTAGTCATTCTAATGGATAAGAAGTGGTATCTCATTGTGGTTATAATTTGCACATCCCTAATGACTAATGATGTTGAATATCTTTTCATGTGTTCATTGGCCCTTTGTGTACCTTCTTTTGTGAAGTGTTGTTCAAATCTTTTGTTATTTTTTATGGGTTGCTTATTTTCTTATTGAGATGCAAGAGATCTCTCTCCATTTTAGATAAATTCTTTGTCAGATACATATATTGTAAGTTTTTTCTTCCTGCTTTATGATTTCCCTTTTCATTTTCTTAATAGTGTTCTCCAAGAAACAGAAGATTTTAATTTGATAAAGATCATTGTATTTATTTTTTCTCTCACAGTTCATAATTTTGTGTCCTAAGAATTCTTTGCCTACTACAAAATCTCAAGGACTTTATTCTGTTTTTTCTTCTGTAAGTGTTGTAGTTTATACACTTACATTTTAGTCTATGATATAATTTGAATTCAATTTTGTGTATGGTGTGAGGTAGGGATGGGTATCTAGTTGTTCCAACACTGTTTGTTAAAAAGACTAAATCTGTACTTCACTTAATTACCTTGACTGCTGTGTTCAAAATCAACTGATGACATATGGGCCTGGGTCTAAATCTGGGCTGCATTCTGATTCATTGATCTATGAATTTTGGCATTTTTGTTTACTTGTTTTCTGTGATGTGATATTCCCTTGGTTTTCCTCTTTAGTGTTTCTCAGTCTCTTTCTTTTTAATATCCTTTTAATAATTGAAATACCCAGGACTTAATTCTAGGCCTTTTTTCTGTTTTCCTATCTATACACTCTCCCTCCACCAAAGATGAGTAGGTGTTAATTAGAAAAATAGAGCGGAATCAGAAGAGGGAAATGGAAAGGATGGAGAGAGGGGAGCAGTAAAATGTCTTAGAATGACCAGCATGTGCAGAATCCAGTAGGTTAAAGAAAACATGATGCATGGAAATTAATTGAATACAGAATGCAAAGGAGGAAAAAGGCAAGAGATAATGCAGGGGAAAGTTTAAGAATAGTCTTGGCCATGCCAAGTTTGCACTTAAACTTGAGAGCAATGGGAAAAAGGTCAAAATCAGATGTGTGTGAAAAGGATTCAATGGTTGCATGTAATAAATAACTATGCATCATCAAAATGAAGTTTATAAAGAATATTCCGTCATTTCAGACAATTGAAATTATGTATCATTTCTATCATATCAAATTATCAATTATGTATCTTTTTTATCATATCAAAATATATATGAACTATAAAAATTTATAATTAATAGGAACATTTAAAAACACCAAAAGAAAAATATACCAAATTATTAACAGTAGTTATTCTTGAGTGTTAAGATTGCAGATGGCCTCATTTATTTCCTTTTACTTTTCTATATTTTTAAGTTTTTGCAATTAACCCATATTAAATCTGTGATAACACATGTTTTAAAGCATGCTAAAAAATGTGTCATTTTTAGAAGAGGCGCAAAGTTATGGTCAAGAATAATCAAGCCATAAGTTTCTTGTATTACAACATTTGTATCTTATAATTTCATTTATTTCTATCCTCAGGTTCATTGTTTGGTAGATCTCAGGCACAGTAGATGAAGATAGAAAAACTGATATGATCTCAAACAATCAGCTGGTGAAAAACCAAGTTTCTTAATTAACAAAACTATTTGGGACTTAGAAATCATAATACTCATGTCTGGTTTTAACTAGTGTAGACTGCTGGTGCTCTTCCTTACAAAATCATGGTTTTGAAATAATTTGTTTATACTTCCCAGGTTTTTGATATTATAGTAGAAATGAATGAGGGTGTATTTTTGAAATGATCTGATCAGTTAGTACAAACATCCTAGTTATAGACATACAAATTACTGTTATTATTTTTTCACCTCACACTACAGTCTTGTGCCAGCTTTTGAATTTCATATATAAATTTGCTTACAGACTGGTGAGCCAAATGGATAAAGCAAAGGCAGTGAGCCAGGCAAATTTGCATCTGGATTCTCTGTAGGACTCAGGGAGAGTGTTGCCTTGCAGAGGCAAATTAGCAGAGGCAAATTTATTTGTGTAGTACAGATGGTTGCCTCAAGAACCATTTATAATGCAGATTGCTATTCTAGTGTGCCATTCCCATTAGCTTAGAAACAGATTCGTTTTTGCCCAAGTTACAAATGGATAAAAGGTCTGTTCATTTCAGACTTTCCATAATACATCTATATGTATCTTAAACAATATCTTAAAATATAACTGCATCAAAAACCCAGGAGGTAAACAAGGATATGTGAATGAGTGTAACCCAAGTGTCTGCCTCCCTCTCTCAGACAGCACAGTCCCCTGGCATTTTTTGGAGCTGGTATCACCTTGGCTTCTGAGGCTGTGCTTGCAACAGCTGTTGCTTGATCCTCTCTTCTGTTTTCTGCTCATTCTGTATCTGCTTGTTTTTTAGAACTCCAAACTCTCTTGTTATAAAGCTATTATCGTCAAGAGAGGCCCAGTGGAGTTGTGTTCAGATGGATCCGGTCTGATGGAGATCACAGAAAGCTTCTTAGAGGAGGTTCCTCTTGAACCAAGATTGGGGGAAGTCAAGGGAATTATCAAGGCAAGTGAAAATGCACCCAGTAAGGGACAGCATGGTGTACTCACCAGTTCAGGCAAAAGGAGGAATCGGGAGCCAAGAGGCAGTATATGAATAGCCAGCAAAAAGCGTGATTGGACACACACAAGTTGTTTGGGTAGCTGGACTTGAGAGATGAAATAGAGGTATGCAGGAGATGAACCTGGAGATGTGACTAGATCCTCAAGGGACCAGATTATGTAGCGAGCTGGATTTTATGTAACAGGCACTGTTTGAAGAATTGAGTGTGGTCGACAACTATCTCCCTTTACTTTATACTTCTATTACTTTTGGCTGCCAGACTTGAACCTGTGTCTATCCTCCCATCCCTTCCCTTCTGCTTGGTCTTTCTGCCACTGATGATCTGCAGTTTAGTTCAGCCTCACCTAGTTAGCAGTGAGAAGTTCTTGAGAGCACTATTAAATGTTTTCTATACTTGTCTCATATTCTTCTACCTTCAACTCTTAACAACAGCCTGATTTGTTCTATATTTCTATT